CATCACCAGTTCCATCATCATCACCGTCACCGTCACCGTCACCGTCAGCATCAGCATCAGTATCATCATCATCATCATCATCATCATCATCATCATCATCATCATCATCATCATCATCATCATCAGCATCATCATCATGGCAGTGGGCGCTGACGGCACCAGAGTCCCTGGACTTTGCCACCCCTCCGCCTGCTCCACCTCCTCCTCCTCCTTTCAGCCTCCTCCGTTCCTTCTCCTCCTCCTCCTCCTCCTTTCATGCTCCCCCTCCTCCCTCCCTCCCTCACTCCTTGTCCTCGTATTGCCTCAGCTTCCTGCTCCTCCCCTCCTCCTCCCCTTCTTTTCCACGTATTGCCTCGGCCTGCTGCCTCCTCCCCCCTCCCTCCCCCTCCCCTCTCCCCCTCCCCTCCCCCCCCCCCTCCCCCCCTTGCCCCTGCCCCTGCCTGCCCCCCCCCTGCCCTGCCCCTACCCTACCCCCCTGCCCCTTCCTCCTCCCTCCTCCTCCGCCTCCTCCTCCTCCTCCTCCTCCCTCCCTCCCTCCCTCCCTCCCTCCTCCCTCCTCCCCTCCCTCCCTCCCTCCCTCCCTCCCCTCCCTCTCCTCCTCCCTCCCTCCTCCTCTCCTCCTCCTCCCCTCCTCCTCCTCCTCCTCCTCCTCCTCTCCTCCTCCTCCTCCTCCTCCTCCCTCCTCCTCCTCCTCCTCCTCCCTCCTCCTCCTCCTCCTCCTCCCCTCCCCCCTCCCCCTCCCCCTCCCCCTCCTCCTCCTCCTCCTCTCTCCTCCTCCTCCTCCTCTCCTCCTCCTCCTCCTCCTCCCTCTCTCCTCCTCCTCCTCCTCCTCCTCCTCCTCCTCCTCCTCCTCCTCCCTCCTCTCCTCCTCCTCCCTCCTCCTCCTCCTCCTCCTCTCCTCCTCCTCCTCCTCCTCCCTCCTCCTCCTCTCCTCCTCCTCTCCTCCTCCTCCTCCTCCTCCTCCTCCTCCTCCTCCTCCTCCTCCTCCTCCTCCTCCTCCTCCTCCTCCTCCTCCTCCCTCCTCCCGCCAGCCGTGCGGAGGCGGAGCCGTGCGCGCGGGCGCCTCGAGAGCAAGCTGAAGATGTCGCACCTCCCCGCCGGACCCCCGTTTGCCCCGTTTGCCTGGGAGGAGGAGGAGGAGGAGGAGGAGGAGGAGAGGAGGAGGAAGAGGAGGAGGAGGGAGGAGGAGGAGGAGGAGGAGAGGAGGAGGAGGAGGAGGAGGAGGAGGAGGAGGAGGAGGAGGAGGAGGAGGAGGAGGAGGAGGGAGGGAGGGAGGGAGGGAGGGAGGGAGGGAGGGAGGAGGAGGAGGAGGAGAGGAGGAAGAAGAGGAGGAGGAGGCGGAGGAGGCGGAGGAGGAGGAGGGAGAGGAGGGCGAGGAGCGAAGGTAGAGGGTAGAGATGTTGGGCGTTGATGCCTCGTGGCGGGAGGAGGGAAGCAGGAGGAGGAGGAGGAGGAGGAGCAGCAGCAGCAACAGCAGCAGCATGTCTGTGCTCCTCCCCCTCTTTTGTCACTCCTGCTGCAGATATTGTTGAACTTGAGTTGCAGCTTAGCTCATCCATGTCCTCACTGTTTATGTGTGCGCTCAGTGGCACCAGCATTGCCACGCTAAGCATAGCACTTATAATATGTCGCATGTTCGAGCTAGGATTGCATATCCTCATCTGTTTTCCGTGCAGTGCCTCACTTATGCTCTCACTCTGTTTCTTTGACCTACTCTAGCAAGTGCTCATCCGTTGGTGGCTTTCCTGCTCGAGGAAGGCCTGGTGCGAAAGGCGAGGACGTAAGCCTCCTCATGAGCTGCATGCTCGTGACCCGTTCCAAGGCGACCAGCACCCGAGGCGCGAGAAAGGAGGGAAGGGCCAACAGGGGGGGGATAGGAATAGGGAGAGTTGCTCTTCGATTCCTTATCCAAGCTCATTTCTTAGGTAACTCGTTGTCTACACACGCAGCAAGACCAGCTGCACTGCTCCCAGATTCCTGCATTTAAGCGGAGGGGGCTAAATACAAGATCATGTCTTCTGCACAACATACACATTTCCGCGAGCGTGTTCGTGAACACGATCCCGCTCGAAAACATGCACTTGCAATCCTCCCCTCTCTCCCTGCGCAGTCTTGGCGTGAACACATCCAGAACCTTAAGCCAACCAACATCATGGCTGCCGTGGTACGTCACCTGGATGGCACGCCTAGACCCTCTCTGGAGACCAACAGCCGTGAGGCCACCGCAGTGGCATATAGATGGGCCCTTCAAGGGTTCCAGCATCCTGCTAAGATGCTTGACAACATGCGTGACGCACGTTGCATACTCAGCATGCACTCTTTGGCCTTGGACATGTCCAAGGATTGGCATTTCTCGCACAGCATAGATATCGTAAGAACTTCATTAACATCATCTTGCGTGCTAGCAAACCGGCCCTGCAGGCCACCATTCTTGCTGGCGCATACGACACGCCATTTTGGAGTTCATACATTCGACAGTCATTTGAGATACTTTGGAACCCCCTTTCCCCCATTGGACCCCCATGCTCTTTGCATGTTGCACTTTCGACCGAAACAAGATGTTGGTACCTGGGGAAAGCGAAGAGAAATAGGACTACCAACCGTGCTGCCTGGAACGGAGCCTGTGCTCGTTTTAAAGAGCACTTTGAGGCGGCGTTCCGATTAAAGGTTCTCAGGTCCACAGGCAGAGGTATATATCCTGGGGCTCAACAGCTTCATGGCCATTCTGTTCTATCCCCATTGCGTTCGGTGGATAGCACAATGTATTCCGCCTTGAATCTTTGGCAATTGAACTTCTACGACCCCCAACTCAGAAGCCTGTTCCCAGACGAGACCGTGTGCCAAGACACCTCTGTCGCCCTTACCCACGTTTCAGAGCTAATAAGACCGGGCCCAAGAGTGCCAACATAACATGTTGGTAGGGATTCATCATAACCCCTCCATACGTGCACGGTTCCACGAGCAGAACAATAACTTCGAAGCCCTCTTGGCCTTTTGCCACTCCTCCTGGGGCCTTAATAAGAAGCATGTGCTTAAGCTCGTGCACGTACGTAAATATGAATTCGGGTTGGCCCTTTACCTTTCACAGTTCAGAGTACGGTTGGACTATCATCGCATGTGGAGACATTCTGACGTGGTCGAGCATGCGCTTCGAGTTTGGATGGAGGCCAGACGACTCTCGCCTGAGCAAGCGGGCGTTGCCCAACGGAAGATTGAACGCTTCCTCCATTCCGGCAGCCTCATCTCCTCTCGCACCTACTCGTTCCATACATTCTCTGACCATCCCATTATTGTGCACAGATGTAAGCATTGCGTTCGTATTTATATTCAGCGAATCTGTCACAATAGGCCCATGCTCTATAGTAAATATGCTCCTCTGCCGCCGCCGCACAATGCTTATAGTATGTACTTTACAGGTGACCAGACGCCGTCGGCGGGAGCAAAGTCGAGTTCCGAGGAATCCTCCAGACGCCGTCGGCGGGAGCAAAATCGAGTTCCGAGGAATCCTTACCCCGATTCTCAGAGGAACGACTTCTATACATACTTATGCTCTAAGACAAAGGTGTTGGCTGCGGCAGTACCTCGATATAGCGGACCACTCACGCAGCATGCACAAATATCGCGAGCATTCAATATTAAGCTCTGTGATCCGATTTGTAATGACCCAGCTTTTGCAACATTCCGTGAACACACCATCATTTGGAGCAATATGTATTGGAGTGTCCCCGAGCCCCCACATGCACGCATGGTATGGCTTGACCTTTATACGCAGTTGCAGCGACATTTTTGGACATATCAACTTACTGGCAGTTTCCCACACATATATGACATTTCAATGCGAACACATCAACGTTTCTAAACAGCGCTTCCCCATCCAGAGCAGGCGGATTCAGAACCAATGGCACGCATACGACTGCAGCTCACATAATATTTCCCGAACCATGTTTGGGTCGGAAGTGATAAAGATGCACGCAGACGAGCTGCAGTCCAGTGGCCAACTTACATATGGGTACTTGGCAACATATTTCTACAAGACACGGAGCATTACCGATACATGCCAAACGTCAGCATTAAACAAGTTGCGAAAATTCAAAGAAAACGTGATCGCGTATTGGTTCCTCCTAGATGGAGAAAATCGATCCCTGCTCAATCAGAGCACGTCCCTTCTGCCTACATCACCTTAAAAAGGAACATGTTTCAACCATGAGACAGGTGATCTATGTTGCCCCAAGCCCCATGCCCATGTTCGAGAAATTGCTAACGGTGTACATGCCACGCAAAAGCGTTTCCTTAGCAAGGCGGCCCGAGCAATTCGGCTTATCAAGAAATACAGTGGCGACACCACATGGACAGTCTGGTCGCCAAATGAGGCCCCACGTGCCCCTCGGACCAAAGCAGGCAAGCTTAAGACAATCACACACAATTTGCTCACATGTGTGCCCGTTGCAAGTACCCCAAAGAACCTGTGTCGGTTTGCAAGGCGGACGCGTCACAATTCTTCAAAGATGCTAGTTTTGCGCGTGGTGCACAATGTATTCGTGACATGTTGGCTCGATGTACTGCCCGTACGGGTGCTACAAGTGTGGCCATTAAAAGAGGCCGCAAGGCCACAGGTCACCTACTCACCAAGGGCAAAAGACCAAGCCACAACATGATGAGTTTAAATGTTCAGACATACATAAGGCCATACAATACGTACGACAGGATTGCTTCTTCACGGTTGGTAGTGCAGTATTTAAGCGCACACAAGGCTGGGCCATGGGTGCTCCGCTCTCTGAGCCTGCTACCTTGGCAGACCTCGGGGGTTGCATCCACCAGCTATATTCAGATCGTGCCTTCGCTGCCTGAACAGGTTTGCATTATGGTAACGTTCCTACAGGAGAAACCATCCAGGGCATTTTATATGTTGATGACAGTCTCACCATGTCACGCATATTATGTAGCAAGTGTCTTTTTCGTTCCATCAAACGCATGTTCCCTAAGGATGTGGGGTTCACGTTGGAGGGTAGCAATTTGCCCCTCACCTTCCTCCAGTGTAATACCCGCCCATCATCTAGTAATCTCCCATTTGAAATACATGCTTTTGCTGCCAATGTGTATGGGGTTGAAGTACAAGGGTACAGAACCCCTGATCCGTTGGTAGAGGGAAGGAGGGATAGATGGATGTCTTTCCCTCCTGCACGATCAAAGGTCTGATCGATCTGTCCCTATACCTGAGCCCAAACGGCCAGGCGCAGGAGAGGGATAAGGAGTATATATGAGGGTATTACACGGGTTCTATTCACACACCCCGTCCCGAATCCCGCCCGTGAGGGTAGGACTCGGGAACAGAGGAAAAGAATCCGTCACCCGCTTACCCATTTAATCCTCAGGTCTGCAGGCAGCTGAGCGCAAAGGCAGTATAGCCTCAGCTGCAAAGTAAGGTAAGAAGGAACACCCTGGGTCCCGATTTCTTCGCAAAGCACGCGTTGGTGCCCCCTCGGTGCGCCCCCCAAAACGCTGCAGCACCCGAGGGCGGAGAAGAATGAGACACGGGTGGGCGGAGAAAGAGGATCTGAGCAAGTTAAGGCAACTTGTAATCTGCCTCGCCTATGCAAGGCAGGTGTTGCCACCAGCTGTCAGATCATTCTCAACGCAATGGAGTTAGACTGTGAAGAATATGCAATCAGGGATCGCGTTGATGAACACGATCGTGTTACGAAACGCATATCTATATCAAAACAAATGTCTGGCCAGACGAAAGGTCGTGTTGATGAACACGAAAGTTGCATGTATGTAAATTCTCTATATGGCGACTCCCGTTGGCGTTACTCCTTAGGAGGCTGCCTTGGTTATCGCAAAAGATGTTTGTATGTGTGGCCACTTGTGTTGTATAGTGAAGTGGCCTAAAAGTATACAATAGCCACCGCTCAAGGCGAACTTGGATTATAATGAAGTTCAAGCCTTTCGAGCGGCGGGCCTTGCGGCCGACTCACTACGCGTTGCCGTTCTCGTGGAACCTGCGGTCCCACATCCTGTGGCCATCGTGCGTCACGTAGCTCGTCGTGAACGTCTCCCAAGATGTCCTCGGGATCCAGTGGGGAAACCACT